TGCATTGGTATGAATGTAATTCATTTGTACATGTATTGCTATAGATGTAATTCATTTGTACATGCATTGGTATAGATGTAATTCATTTGTACATGTATTGCTATGGATGTAATTCATTTGTACACGCATTGCTATGAATGTAATTCATTTGTACATGCATTGGTATGAATGAAATTCATTTGTACACGCATTGCTATGAATGTAATTGATTTGTACATGCATTGCTATGGATGTAATTCATTTGTAACTGTATTGCTATGGATGTAATTCATTTGTACACGCATTGCTATGGATGTAATTGATTTGTACATGCATTGGTATGAATGTAATTCATTTGTACATGTATTGGTATGGATGTAATTCATTTGTACATGTATTGGTATGGATGTAATTCATTTGTACATGTATTGGTATGGATGTAATTTAGTTTGTACATGAATTGGTATAGATGTAATTCATTTGTACACGCATTGCTATGAATGTAATTAATTTGTACACGCATTGCTATGGATGTAATTGATTTGTACATGCATTGGTATGAATGTAATTCATTTGTACATGTATTGGTATGGATGTAATTCATTTGTACATGTATTGGTATGAATGTAATTCATTTGTACATGTATTGGTATGGATGTAATTTAGTTTGTACATGAATTGGTATGGATGTAATTCATTTGTACACGTATTGCTATGAGTGTAATTATTTTGTACACGCATTTGTATGGATGTAATTATTATAAAATTTATATGTGCCGTACGGACCATGACAGAGAGGCATTGGGTGAGAGGTTTTTGCCTTACTCACTTGTTTAGACAAACGTTGGTAAATGTATATAATGTTTTCCAAAAGCACTAGCATGTAGTGAATTATATTGATTATCAATTATTGTTAAAGCTAATATATAAATTGTGCGTAATAGATAATTCAAAAAATTTTTTTTGAGATATTGTATTCCGATAATCTTTGATTTCTGTTAATTGTTTCATTGGCTTGCCGTTTTGAAGTAAAGAGAAAGTCGTTGTAGTGGCAAGATGTCTGTCTTCCTTCGTCGTCGCCGTCATCGTCGTTGTAGTGGCAAGATGTCTGTCTTCCTTCGTCGTCGCCGTCATCGTCGTTGAAGTGGCAAGATGTCTGTCGTCTATCGTCGTCTTCGTCAACAGTTTTCTTGTGGACGCGATAACATCAATAATATTTTGCCTCTTGCTATATATGTACATATTTTGTTATTCTGTATGCATAGAAGAGCTGTAAATTTTTTGCAATTGATCTCCAAATATATTTTTCCAAGGTGTCCAAATATTACTAATACATTACTGTAGATTAATAGGGTATAAATAAATATTAAGTATACATATAGAATAACATGTTTAAATTCATATATATAAATTCGATATAATGAATTTGAAGTTAGACATATATTAATAGTAACGTCATTATTGGCGATCCGCTCTGCTAGGATTGCCCTTAAAATCACTTTTGTGTGTTTGTGTGGGGAGAGTGTACTCGCATTACTATATGCTTTGAGGACGTTGATAAGTTTTTTGACCTGCCTCCGAGGACGTCTCAATGGTAGCGAGGACATTTTCAGGGTCCTCGGATTAAAGTGCTTTAGAATGGCTTAAAATGACCTATTAACCACGTGACACCATTCTGAGACACGTCCTCGAAGAACCGGTAAAGTGTGTAAAATTTACACATTTTCGTTGGAGGCCCATTTCAGCCTCGGGCGCCCCCAATTTGACAGATACACACATTTCAAAGATACACGCAATTCAACAGTTATAACGCGTTTAACTGGTTAGAGCGCCACCTTTTAATGGCATATAGCAAAGGTATTACCACAATTCTAGTTTTAAGTGAGATCCGAGGACCCCGGGGGACAAGATGGTAAATCAGTGAGGCCTCATTGTTGTCCAAAACATGATACACAATGTGTTAAGGTAGCGAGAAGAGTTTGGTGACGTTTTTGATTAAAGCATTCTCTGTCTATTGTCTCATTCAGAACCGTAATTTAGCGTATATATTTCAAAAGCCTAAGTATAGAGGGACACGTTGGCACAATCTGTATAGTCAATGTTTACATAATTACTACGTGACCACAAAAATGGCAAAACTTTTTGTAAAAATGACTAAGTCCGCGATTGCGAGAGTACAATGCGGGAATTTCCGGGTGAAATTTGTGCAAGGCATTGTCTGTAATCAAGTCTATTGAAATGCGTCTTCCATAGTCAAAAGACCTATTCTTCCGATTTCTAAGGAGGTTTGTTTTTTGTCCCCTAATTATTCCATACTTGGCACCTTTAACATACTATTATTCTGTGACAAAGCATTTTCTTAAAAAAACCAGACATATTTCGCACACCATCATTATCTGTTGAACGCTAACTGCGAGTTT